TCCAAAAACATTTGTAAAATAAAGTTTGGTTGCAAAACAGACTTTTATTTGTGTGTGTGTGTATATATATAATCTGGGCATGGTTAGAAGGGGAGAGCTTACAAAGGCATCAGACAAGAGATCTACAGCATATGTATAAAGCTGTAGATCTCTTGTCTGACGCCTTTGTAAGCCCTCCCCTTCTAACCATACCCAGACTTTGTCGCTGTCCAATCACTGACTTCCCAATGCAGCTCCATGAGACATCTTTGCAAGGCAGGTGCTGGGCAATTGCTGCTTCTTGAGTTTAACTCTACTGAGGTAAACAAACAGGAAGTAACATGACTGGTTGTCTGATTGATATCCAAGGGGGTGTAAAAATTCAAATTTCTATTGAAATCTGCACTTTTTGTAAAAATTTTAAACTAGTGCTTTAGGGGCCTAGAGTGTTCCTTTAACGTGATATGACCTCTGTGGCAGAAGAAGCTCTGCAAAATAGGACTAAACTCAATTAATGGGGCATGTGACCAATGCTCTAGAGCAGGGGCTCCCAATTATTTTGACTCATGTTTTGATATATCACAGATTTCTACAGATAGTATTAAGAAAAAACAAAACATTTATTATTATTATTATTATTAATAATATTATTATTATTGCCATTTATATAGCGTCAACAGATTCCATACATGTATTATTTAGCTACAGGGGCGGACTGACCGGTCGGGCACTTCGGACACGGTCCGAGGGCCCGGCCGGGAGGGGGGCCCGCCGCCAGGGCCGCCTTCAGGGGGCCCGGCGGCAGGGCTGAATTGGGGGCGGCAGAGGAAGGTGCCACCGGGTGGCCGGTCCGGTGGCACACTGTGAGGGGGCCGGCCGTTTGATGCTGGAGCCGCCGGACCGGGTAGCAGCCTCGCCGGTCCGGCGGCTTTCCTCTGACTAACACTGAAGGGGGAGGAGGAGGAGCATCTGTCTATCATGCTCCCTGCGGTTCCCACAATTCCCAGCACAGGATGTGGGAACCGCAAAGGAGCATGATAGACAGATGCTCCTCCTCCTCCTCCTTCATCGTTAGTGAGCGGAATGCCGCCGGACCGGCAAGGCTGCCACCCGGTCCGGCGGCTCCAGCATCAAACGGCCGGCCCCCTCTGACTTGAGTAAGAGGGGGGAAGAGGGGGCAAGAAAAATATGGGGGGGAAGAAGGGGCAAGAGAGATATGGGGGG